CCCAACCATTACAATACGTCCAACACGTTCAATATAAGCGATCTCTCAGCCTACCACCCACCGGACGCGGCTCCAACGAATCTTTCATCTTCAGATTCAGATTCTTCAGTTAGCGGGGGAGAATGATGCGGTGCATCTCGTCACCGAGTAGCTTATTTTTCACAATACTACTTAGTTTTCTTAAATATTACTTAGTTATCTTAATCAGCTTTTATTTTATTAGTTATCTTGTAAAGCAGCTTGCAGCTTTCTGTTAGTATTGTTGCTGCTCCACTTCTTTGTTTTCCTTATTTAGGCGTATGGTACCTGCGGCTTCCATAGTGCAGTTTACAATTGTAGCAAGAGCCAGTTTTGGTCTCTTGGTTGCTTGTTTATCTTCTCCTGGTTAGGATGAAGAAGGCATTGAATGAAATAGTTTCTCAGGCCTTTGCCTTAGCAATCTTGTTGTCCTCCTGTGGAGTGTTGAGCTTTGTGAACCTGCTTCTTCCACCGTATACCCCATCAAGATATTAACAATTATAACCTTATTTACATGTTCTATATTAACATCTTCAAGATTAGGAATAGGCAACCTTTTATAATTTATATTTATTTTTAGTTAAAGTTATTTTATTTAGGATATATTTTCATAATTTTATCTTTATAGACTTGTCACATAAAAAATTTTATATCCCTTATGTACTTTTTGTAATTAATGTCATTCGTAATTTAAATTAATGTAGGTTAGAAAATCTATAATGATGGGATATAATTTTTTTTCTCGCCATTGAATAAAGTTTTACACACATATGGGAAAAAGGTGCTCATAAAAAGCATAGTATTTTTTAATGTGAACAATCTTGAAGAGAAAAACTCTTGAGTTCTTGCCTAGATGAAATGGTATATCATGTAAGATGAAAATTATAAAAGTTTGTCATTCTTCTTGTTGGAGAAGACAAGATGATAAAATATGAATTCTTATCGTGGTCTTCGATGAGAATAGTGGGAAATGCTTCAATAGTGAAAGGTTTAGGGCATTAGTGTCATTCAACAACTGGTGATGGAAGTATGACAATAACGATTTTCAACGTTAGTTAATGGAAGACGACGGTGATGGAGTGACTAGAAATGATAGCGTAGATTTTTAGAATACTATAATAGACAAACTATTACGATCGACTGTCGGCAAACTTTATTGGTCATTAAAGTTAGTCAGTGATGAGAGAATGATGAAGACCATTAGTGGCTATCATTAGTGATGATCGGCGGGCTAGTGCTTTAGAATTCCATGTCCCCTTCATATGTTGAATGATGGCCTATTTAAATATTGTTGATATGACTTTTAAAAAAAAAATTGAGAAAATCTCAAACACCACATCAAACGGCTTAGAATGAATCCCATGAGCATTTGACTCGTTGTTGCGTATTTTAGCGCTTTAATGACATCATGACTGAGTGATTTTAGGCTTTTTCAATTCAATTTATGGATATGCATGTTTTGATTATAAATATATTGGCAACGAAGTTTAAAATGATTGTATCTTTGATTTTAAAAAAACTATTTAAATATTTTTGCCAACATTCACATTTAATCGAATAAAATTTGCAGACCGTGAGATAGATTTGCAGATTTTTCCAAGTTAAAATAGCTCCAACAAATAAGAAAATACAATCATTTGCTGATTTAGTTTTGTCAATATCAACCATCCAACCGATTAATCATATCATGTAGAATAATCAACTAGATCTTTCAAATATGGTAACCATCTAAGGCTTTCAAATTACCTTGATTTGAATTGAAACAATATCTTGCCAATCTTGGCACGGAGCATGCGATATATACATATCATGTATATATCATATCAGTATGCTATATTATCAATATAGCATATTAGTATGCTATATTAATATAATATATAAGTATGCTTATCATTCAATATATTATATCAATATGTCTATAAATATCTATTAATATCTATATCATTTGTTAGGTCATTTTGTATCTATCTCAATGTTGGTTCTATCACTTATATATCAATTCTATATATTAATCATTTCAATCAAATCATATGTCATCATGTAAATACAAATATAATTAACTTTAAAGTGATATTTTTTATCCTTTCATCGTCATTATTATCTGTGTTGTGGACTAAAATATACGCGGCGATATAGTTAGAAAATTTCCGTCTCAGCATTGTACGGATATCTAGCACACAAACATATGAGAAATAACGCAAGGATTTTTATGTGGAAAACTATGGAAAGAGAAAAAACAACGGGGCCACACCCATTTGAAATAATTCTACTAGTGTTTATTTGAAGTACAAGAAGCTAAATCGTCCTTAAAATTTAGAACGATCATATTACAAAGCTTCACTTTCTAATTTAAATCCAATTACAAACAAGTTTCATATTCGAGCTGAATTCAAAGTCATTAGAATTCTGGCATCGTTGGGAAATCGGGCAGAGTTCCGGCGTCACTTGGGCTTCAGTCAGAATTCTGGCGTCACTTGGGTGTCGAGCAGAATTCTGGCGTCACTCGGGCATCGGACAGAATTCCGGCGTCATTCAGGCATCGGGCAAAATTCCAACGTTGGTGGTCGAGGAGGAGTTTCTTCCCTCCTAATCTTCTTCTCTTCTCTTCTCCTTCTCTTCTTCTTGCTTGGGTTCCCCTCTCAAGAAAAATGAGGGGTCTATTTATAAATTTTCTAGAGTGGCATGACCGGTAAATAGGTGAGAGATCAGGGGTAAATGGGGACTGGTTGGATGGATGGCTGATATTGAATCGTTTTATCGTGTACCGTTCATCAAACATTTGAAGGTCTTAATGGTATCGGAATTTGGCGATCTTGGGCTCGTTGGATTTGTCTCGTCGAGCCGCTCGATTTGACTATAATTTCGTCATATTTGGAAACCGTTTGGTAACTCAAATTGTGGTATGAACTTTCTAACATAACTTCGAGTCCTTGATTTGGACTCATTCGGGCTCGGATTGAGTTGAATTTGGTGTCGTTGGGTTCATATTTTTGAGACGCTTAGTTTTGACTGTAAGTTTGCTGAAATCGAAGTTCAGGTGATCCCGAATTTAATTTTTTAAGTTTCCCGCTTGATTTTGTCTCGAGATTCGTGCCCGACCAAGATAATTTCTTGATGATATATAAGGAAAAATTTTTGTGTTAATATATTCTAATAAAAAATAAGTCAAAATATTTTAAATATACTTTAAATAAACGCATATTTATCTCAAAAAAGTGCTATTTTTTTATTCTGAAAAAAAAAAGCAGAATATCCTCATTATTGTTTTCCTATAAAAGGACCCTAACCTATCGACGCTTCCCGCATTAAAACGGCAGGTCGTGAGGGACGTCAAATGCCGTCAAAGAAAAATTTGAACGGCAGATCTTGCACCCACACCTATTCTGCATCGGACAGCGCGAAATTTCCTAATGCGTGAACCCATTCAGGCTTTATCCGAGGGAGCGCAAATCAAACTGTCAGCAATATAAAATAAAAAAAATTAACTAATTAAGATTCTTGGTTTAAATTAAAATTGTATTTGGGATAATTTTCCCACTTTTTTTATTTTTTTAAGATATAAATAATAATTATCTTTATTTTTTTATTTTTTCATTTTTTTAATTATGTCCCTTTTAAGGCCAAATTAATTAAACCAATTTAATAAAAAACTACAACAATCTCAAATAGATCCTAAAAATTTATTTGTGATAAATTTCTAAAATTATAGTTATAATTTTTATTTGACCATTATTTTTTATTGATTTTAAGAAATTTTAACTAAATTTTTAAAACATTTATTTTCTTTACAACAATTTTATAGTCATTATTATAATACACTCCGAAAATAACCCTTAAAAATCTCTTCTAAATAGAATTTACACATAGACCAATAAATTTTGTTTGAAAAAAATAAATTTTATTTAACTTATTATTTTATTATAGATATTACTATTTTTTTAACAAAAAAAAATTCATTTGGAATGTCTTTTTAATGCTTTCTAAATTAACTTTTTAATAAATTTTTTTTAATTCAAATAAGTTTTAATTAAAAACTGATTAAAAAATAATACAATTTTTTATCCCAATTAAAATCTAAATAAATAAATAATATGGAGCAATGGAAAATGAATTTTTAAATCCAGCTACTACATTCTAGATTAGGTTATTCAAGATTTAATTTGGGCAAAATTTATGGAGTGATTACATTATGATGCAGAATAAATAATAAACCAATAATTACACTTATTTTAAATATAATGCGAACAAAAAATGGTCAAACTTTTCTTCTTGCACATCAATCATACCTTAAAACATAAATCATTGTACCTTTTGAAATTTATGAAATCTTTATTAAAATAAAGTTTAAACACTCTCATAATTACACACATTAAAAATCGTTAATTTTTTTTATATAAATTTGATAATGATTAGTAGATAAATATTTTTATTTTATTTCAGCCCAAAATTATTTTTTTCAAAGGTTAATTCGTTAATAGTGAATAAGAAAATAAAAAATAATAATTTTGTTCAAATTTCCTTGAAAAGTAATCGTATCTTATGGCTTTGTTTGGCATTCATGACTCATGCGATTTAAAAATAGATAAAGCTCATAGTGAAATTTATTAAGAATTTTCCCCCAAAAAATATTAAGAATTTATAAATTAATGAATATAAATTGAAGCTAACAGAAATAAAAAAAAAATATTCAGATCAAATATGAATATTGGTAACAGAAATTTTTGCTAGATATGTAATTAATATCATGATTTTAAAAGATCTTGATGGAAAAGATACTCTTTTTTTTTTTTTTTTTGTCACGTAGAGAATCCAGAAAGAAAATAGAAGTCACGGGGAAGGCCTTCGCAGCGATATATTCCGAGCGAGAAATTGAAAAACAAACGAAAAAAACACCTTTTTTTTAATTTCTTGTTTTTTAAAAAATTTAATGGAAAAAATGGTGAAATTTTTTTCCTATATAAATCCCCTCGCCGTTCATGCAAATCTCGCCAGCTTCCCAACTCTTTCCGCTTTTTTTTTTGATCCGTCAGCTCTCTTCCGTTAGGTTTCCGGCTGCTCCTCCGCCTTCCTTTAGGATTTTTCCTACACAGGTACGGCCGCTGCCGGCATTAGGTAATCATTTCTTCCTTTGGCCGCTTTTCTCTTCTCGTCGATTTCGGTTAGGGCTATTTGTTCTGGTTTGCCTATTGGTCGATTCGCCTCAAGTTATTGTCGTTTCTCGGATCCATTTTCTCTATTTTGATTGCTTCAGATCATAGATCTATCGCCACCGGTATATTCGAGGGTTTCCGTTCTTCGCATCGCTGTAAATTATCTGATTTTTTCCCCCAAACTACTTGTTTTCTTTGCATCTACCGTCTTCTGAAGGGACGGCGTGGGGATATCCGGTCACTGTAACGGCGAGCTAAGCTTTCTCCTCCTCTTTTTCTTTACCCTTCTGCTACTTTTGAGGGGGTAGCCGGGGCTCCGGCCTCGGCGGCTTTAAAAGCCCCCTTCTCTACATCGAGATCTGATAGAGCCCTACTTTTTTCCTTAATTCTTTAATTAATTTTTTGGGAAGAGATGCCGGCCCTGGCCTGCCTAGAAACGGCAGTTCCTCCTGGCTATGGTTTCGCCTGGGATGGCTCTCTTCCCCTTCAGGGAGCATTTCCCTGTGGCACTCCGGTTACACCAACCATCCCAAACGCCCACGATGTCCATTCATCTTGGTCCACTGACCTCTCTGCCGCCCTCTACAAGATTGACGGCTGGGGCGCACCCTACTTCACCGTCAATGATGCCGGCAACATGTCTGTGCGTTCCTTCGGCTCTGCAACCCTCCCATATCAGGAAATCGATCTGATGAAGGTTGTCAAAAAAGCATCCGATCCGAAATCATTGGGCGGTCTCGGCCTCCAACTACCAATCATCATCCGATTCCCTGACGTCCTCAAGAACCGCCTTGAATCCCTCCACTCTGCCTTCCACTTCGCTATCCAGTCCAATGGCTTCGACTCTCACTACCAGGGAGTCTACCCGGTAAAATGCAATCAGGATCGCTACATCGTGGAGGATATCGTAGAATTTGGCTCTCCTTTCCGTTTCGGCCTTGAAGCCGGATCAAAGCCTGAACTCCTCCTTGCCATGAGCAGCCTCACCAGAGGCAACCCTGACGCGCTCCTCATTTGCAATGGCTACAAGGACGTTGAGTACGTCTCCCTCGCTCTCATGGGGAGAGCCCTTGATCTGAACACTGTGATTGTTCTTGAGCAGGAAGAGGAGCTTGATACCGTCGTGGAGACAAGCCTTAAGCTTGGTATTCGGCCTGTTATTGGCCTTCGGGCAAAGCTCCGAACCAAACATTCTGGCCACTTCGGTTCCACCTCCGGCGAAAAGGGGAAGTTCGGACTGACGACTGCTCAGATTCTTTCCGTGGCAAATAAGCTCCAAAAGTTGGACATGCTGGACTGCCTCCAGCTTCTGCATTTCCACATCGGCTCCCAGATCCCGTCCACCGTCCTCCTTGCTGACGGCGTCACCGAGGCAGCTCAGATCTACTGTGAGCTTGCCAGGCTTGGCGCAGGTATGCGCGTGATTGACATAGGGGGTGGCCTCGGCATCGACTATGATGGATCCCATTCTAGTTGCTCTGATATGTCCGTCGGCTATGGCCTGGATGAGTACGCTTCTACTGTTGTTCGGGCTATCCAGTTCGCCTGCGACAGAAAGCACGTGCGTCATCCAATCATCTGCAGCGAGAGTGGGCGTGCCCTAGTCTCCCACCACTCCGTCCTGATCTTCGAAGCCGTCTCTTCCACCTCCTTTGATCCGGGAGCTCTCGGACAGAACATCGCCTACGTCTTAGATGCTCTGGAAGACGACGCCCTTGCCGATTACCGTAATCTGACGGCCGCAGCGATGAGATCGGAGTACGAGACATGCATCCTCTACGCCGATCAGCTTAAGCGACGATGCGTTGAACAATTCAAGGACGGGTTGCTCGGACTTGAACACCTTGCCGCCGTGGACGCACTCTGCGATCTGGTGGCAAGGGAGATAACTACATCAGATGCAGTGCGCACCTACCATGTTAACCTCTCAATCTTTACATCAATTCCAGATTTCTGGGCAATTGGTCAGCTCTTTCCCATCGTCCCCATCCACCGCCTTGACCAGCGACCATCGGTGAATGGCATCCTCTCCGATCTCACATGCGACAGTGACGGTAAGCTGGACAGTTTCATCGGCGGGAGGAAGTCTCTTCCCCTGCACGAATTCTCAAATGGTGGAGGATATTATTTGGGGATGTTTCTCGGCGGAGCATACCAGGAGGCGCTCGGAGGACTGCACAATCTGTTCGGCGGGCCAAGCGTTGTGCGCGTGGAGAAGAGCGACGGTCCCCACTCCTTCGCGGTGACGCGTGCGTTGCCTGGCCCGTCCTGCGCGGATGTCCTGCGAGCGATGCAGCACGAACCTGAACTGATGTTCGAGTCCCTTAAGCGCCGCGCAGAGGAATACGCTCATAGTGACGGGGAAGCCATCACTTGCGGCCTGGCCCGCGCCTTCAACTCCATGCCGTACCTCGTTCATGATTCCGGCGACGACGTCATGGCCGCAGAGACCGACGGAATCGCCTCCGCCGGCGGCTCCGATGATGATGACGTGGAGTGGGAGTTTATGAGGTGCTTAAGCTTTTGATTGTTGCATCTCATATCTGTCGTGTCGTCGGAGTGTTTCGACCTTTAGTTTTTTTGCTTTTGCAATGTTGCTTAAAACTCTAATGGTTGGTTAGGTTTCATCTTTTTAGTTGATGACGATGTATGTAGAGGCAGCCGGACCTCCAAAAGGCTTGGCGCATTTGTAATATGTCAAATGAATCAGCCTTGTATGTCTACGCTTCTTACTTGATTTTGTTTTGATTTGATTTGATTTTGTTCAGTGGGATGGTGTGGCTATACTACTGGAATACGAGTTGTATTTGAACAGAGATTTTGACCAAGGGAAAGAGATATGGATGATTGGGAGGGAAGAAGAACGGGCTCTGGTAGAGATCCCAAGCATGTTAGCTCGGATATTCTCGTGTGAAAAATCAACTGAGAATGACTGCATTAGTGGTAGATTTTTTTCTTTCTTCGAAAAATCTGAGAGCCGTGTTGAGCATGTCATGATACTAAAATTTCTACGTATATCATTGAAACAACCAAATAGACTTAATACACTAACAGTTGCGGATATTCAACGAAAGGAACAACACCTATGATAAATACAAAAAAGAAAAAAAAGGTTTAAAGTTAAAAGTTAAGAGAAGAGAGGTAAGTAAAAATGAAAATAGATGGGGCTAAGTATAAGAGTTGTAGGCTGAGAAATTCATGACGGTAGATGGAAAAGTTTAACGTTCTAGTGAAGAACGGAGATTCAACGTACAAATAATAATTTGAGTTGACAGAAGGACATAGGAGATTTTGTGGAAAACTTTGAAATTGGGAAAAATTATGAGGTCTTGCTCAATTAAAATGATTTTGCTATTGTTAGATTGAAATATATAAATTGACTTGTTCCTAAACTTAAATATAGGAAGAGTATAATATGTTAAGGATTTTGCAAAACTCCGAACATGTGCTTATGATCTTGAATGGTTCACGGATGAATGAGCAAAAGTTTGTTGGTGGTCGGTGATTGGAAATAGATCTAGCAGGGGTTAACGAGCGGGGGGATGTTCGTTGACGTCTGATGGTTTTGAAGAACTTCGGCGGTGATTGATAGGAATTTCGGCGGTGGTCAGGAAGAATTTCGGTAGTGGTTGGGAAGAGCTCTGACGGTGATCAGATTGAAATCTGGCGGTGATAAGGAAGAACTCTGAGGCTAGAAAGCTCCCAAGTCCTTTACTTATTCTCTCTCTCTCTCTTTCTCTCTCCCCAATACTGTAATGTATAACATTAGTTCAAACAGTTGGATAAGTTAGCTAAATTCCTCTTTAAAAAAAAATGTTGATAGAAAAAAAATGTGTTTCGAAATATGAAGGGCACCAAATCCTTGAACTATCTCACATTAAATTATTCAGATGCAGCAAATGAATTATCATCATTTAATTCATCGACAAAGTGTTGTACGATATAGTAGTTGAATATCTCCAAAATAATTTCCCAAAAAAAAAAAGAATATCTCCAAAATCTGATCTACTCCATTTTTTTTTTTTGGGGGGGAATTTAATCTACTCCATGCATTAGCTTCTTTTCTTTGCCTGAAACATTTAAAAACAACAAAATGAGCTCAACTAGCTCAGTAGACTTCCTTCTTCACCCATCACATGTATCAATGTCCAATTCAAAATTTTAAAAGCAATTAATTAAAGAAAAACACAAAGACTTGCGAAATAATATAAAGTAAAAGCAATATATGAATCAACCAGATTCCAATGTATAAAACTTTAACTTTCATAATAGCGTAACCATTTTAACGGATATTTCCATGTGCAAGATAAAATACTTATTCTCAGATATTCTCTTGCATATTACTTTAACTTTCACTTTCACTTCCTCAACAAAATTCATAAGGAGATTTAAAGTTGACTATTTAATTCATTAAAACATTAAGATGTGAAATGTAATGATTATAATGCACATGTCTCGATGTATTATTATATCTCCATATTCACTTATGCATCCCTTTAACCCCGCATATGCATCAGGCAAATAAGGCCAGAAGAATTCTTTTACTATTACATAACCTCCTATGTCTGTTCTCAACAAATAAGGTCAGAATCTCTCCCACATCTACATCAAGAAAATGGGGTCATAAGAGTATATTTAGCGCCCTTATAATATAATAGAGATTGCACTCTTTTACATTTCAAAATAGAATATCTCCGACGTCATGTAATACGCAATGCAACACTAATTAATGCAGTATTCATGAAGTGCACGAATTGTCAATGAAAGCCACACTACTTGTAATGCTTTGCATACCAATAATCGGGTTAGTAGAATCATTTTCATAAATAGCCAAGAAGAGAAATGGAAAAATGAAGTATCCAATATTTATAAATGTTCAGAAGCAAAGAAAAAAGATGTAGCATATCTCAAGAGAAATAGAGCAGGAAAAGACAATATGGAATGTCACCTTTGAATTTTCACATTTAGCTTTTCATTCGAATAGCAAAATGAAATTTAGATACAAAATAATGAACCTCGGTCATTATTTGTTAAAAATAATAGATTATCTTTCATCCCACACAGTATGAGCAGTAACATGTAAAGCAAAAAAGTAAAGTCATTATCTGATCATACACAATATATCATCTGCATACATAGTTGATGTTGTAGTTTAGGTGTGAGGAAGTTATATGAAGTATGCACCTTTTAAGAATGTTGAATGAATAAAAACAATTAAAAGTCCCCGACTCTTTATATGGGAGAGGCCTTGGCTTATGTTACTCTAAAAATCTATAAAAAGTTTCAAACTCTTGATATGGGGGAGGCCCTTGCTTGAGATTCAAGTGAGCTGAGAAGCACTAAAAATCCCACTACTCGACCTAAGCACCACCACCGAACCATTGTCCAAATGCTACCGTTAGATCATAGCTTCTAGAACGAAGCCTAATCATTTATGTTGAACCACCACCCGACCAGCATCATCAAAATGCCACCTGACTAACACCGCCAAAGTACTGCTTGATTTCTACCATCAGAACACTATCTGGTTGTAGCCATCAGACCATTGCCCAATCACTACCATTGGACCCCCACAGATCTAATATCATGAAACCAACTTTAGTCGACTACGATCCTCTAACTTCCATCACCTAACTACAACCCTCTAATAAATGTCACCTGACTAAGATCATCTAACTAATATTGCCAGATTATAAATCACTAATGACCATTGTTAATCGGACATATTTTCAGCGTGTCCCGCACATGTCGTAAACATGTCAGACCCGTGTTATGTCGGAAACATGTTGGCCACTGCACATCCCTTTGAAGAGAAATATCGGTACATCATAGATTTCAGCCGATCTGATCTCCAAGATTTTGCTCTTTTCAAAATTTCCACCTAAAAACTCAAGTGTCAACTCCTTTTTTATTTATGTATTTGCTGAATTTTCATATAAAATTAAGACATTTCTCTCTATACTTCTACCACCATGAATTATTGAATTTACAGTAAGCTTACTTTTATGTTGTGTGGATTTGAATAGCAGTTCTACTAGTTTGGCTTGGGATGGCCTCCACCAGCTTCAACTTGGTGATGTTGATCCCAGGAAAAAAACAAAAACGCGGTTTGATGGATTTTTGTTGCTTCCAGCGGTCAAGCCGTTGATTAGTTACGCCATTTATTTCAAAATCTTTGAAAATATGGGTAGAAATTTCGGTGCCTCTGGGATAAGTTTCCTTAGTTCACATGTGATGTGATTGGTAGATTTTTTATTCAATATTGGACAAAAATATATATATTCACTCCACGTGGAGGCAAAATTTTGCATAAAAATCAAATCATAATTTTTAATATTTATAATTAAATTCATTCATTATTAAAAAAAAAACTGCTTTACCTCTATTTTGTCTCATACGGATATTTTTTTTATATAAAACTCGGCATCGTTTACGCGTTAACAAAGATAAAAATTACACGTCCTTAGATGATCTGAAGCTGCTAAAAATATAGCATTTGAAAGAAGATCTATAAATCCTACCTAATACAACAAATTAAAAAGCAAATCATAGTAAAAGTTGAGATACAAATAAAGAAACAACATGAACACCAACCGCAACATCCAAAAAGGCACCCCAATACACGACCAAGCTACACCGCCATCATCAAGAGCAACCCAAGCAATCCAGATTAAATCCAAGTAAAAAAAATGCCACCCTACAAACAATGCTAAACAGAGAAATAAGAAAAAATAAAAATGAAGGTAGGAGTACTTTCCCCACAATCAACAGTAAAGAACCAACATAACCACTCAACAAGTTCCACAACCATTACATCCAAAAGAAAACAATAGTAAAAAGAAGGAAGAGGAGGCCGAATTAGCAAAATACTCAAACCAACAAAATCAATCACTTCTTTCTTGTTTTACACCTACCCCGTTTGCCAACACCATAAAATTGGACTTTTTTTATCACAACGACTTACATTCAAGATATACTCATGAAAATCATCCTATGTATCATTCAAACCATCTCTAGCATCCCTACAAGGAGAGGAGCAAGACACATCCAACCAATCCGAATAATTCACAGGACTCAAATTGAATTTGGAAAACATTTGATTTTTCAACTCTTCAGAAGAAATAAGTGCAATAGGAACATCCACAACCGGCACATTCATGATTGTCCCCAAACAACCATATGAAGCATCATTAGCTACTAAAGAAATGGGAGCAATAGAACTAAAAAATTCAGTATTATTATCCACAGTTGTACCCAAAAAAGTAAGATGTTGAGTATCCAAACCAACAAAAGCATCAGCCTTCTCTATAGGCCCAACAGAAATCAAACCATCCAAAGCACTTGAAGCATCACAGTCCACTTGATCCACATAATACAAATTCGGGATGAGAGACACAATATGAGAAGTAATAGAATTAGTCATGCAGGCATTAGTTCCCAAAACTACCACCTCAGACTCATTATTAGCAAAAGACGTAGGCATAGGCATAACAGCAACTGTCGGCAAAACATCCTCTCCACCAAGACCAACAACAACCCCATTAACCTCCACCCCAATATTAGATACCCCATCAATCTCACATGGAAAATATCTCTATGTTGTTTGAATATATTTAGGTTTCTTTTGGGATGACTTTCTTAGTTCTTCTTAAAAAAGTTTTTTACAACAAAATTTTAATTTTTGTATTAGAAATGTGCTTTAAAAAGCAGTAAGAAAGCTGTCCCAAATGAAGTCTTAGGCTTCGTTTGGGAC